AAATCAGTTGCTTTCTTATACACTAACAACGCAACTGTAGAAAGAGAAATTAGAGAAAATGCATATTTTCTTATTTTGCTTACTGTGTCTACTGTACTATTGGGAGGTGGGTTCTCTCTCTCTTTCCTTCTCCCTCTCCCTGCCCTCTCTGTCACACACACGCATGCACATGCACACACACAGACTACATGATGCCCACTTCAGAATTCACTCTAATCAAGACACATGGAAATAATCATGAAATCGTACTGGAATCCCATGCCATTAAATAGGAAGGCGGTAAGCATTTTTCTTCTCGTAACTGCATGCCACCACACAAAGAGCTGCTACGGTACTTGGAGTATGAGGACAGGATGCCGTACCTTCCAACGAGTTCCTGGAAGGAATTCTTTGCACAGACGGTGGTCGGCCCAACGCCTCCATATGAGATGGATAACTCTCTGATGATGCCACCCCCTTCTCCAAAAAAGACTCTCATTCCCGAATTGACGATGGCAAGCGCATTCTGTTGCCGCTGGGCTTGTCGGACGCCTGACACAAATTCCCACTGAAGGCGAAAGTTAGGTAGCACATGCCGAAATACAGTGAGTGACAACGACGCACGGAACAGTTTATGTACGCTGCCTCTCAGTCCCTTGTCCCACTCTCTGTTATGGGCTGCACCGTGTCCCCTAAAATTGATATGTTAAAGTCCTAACCCCCAGTACTTCAGAATGTGACTGTATTTGGAGACTCTGTCTTTAAAGAGGTATTTACATTAAAATGAGGTAATTACGGTGGGCTCTCATCTAACATGATGGGTGTCCTCATAAGCATTAATTTGGACATAAACAGGGAAAACACAGGGAGAAGATGCTCATCTACGAGCCAAGGAGAGAAGCCTCTGAAGAAACCGATCTTGCTGACATCTTGATATCAGGCTTCTAGCCTTCCAAATTGTGAGAAAATAAAGTTCTATTGTTTAAGCCACTCAGCCTATGGTTCCTTATGATGGCAGCCCTAGCAAACTACTACACCCTTCAAGGCAGGCTTGATTATTCCCATTTTATAGATGAGGAATTTAAGCCTCAGAGTGCTTCGGTAGTAAGTTCAGGTCACAGATCCTGAAACCAGGATTCAGTCGAGTCTGAATTCACTTTGAGTCCAAAGTCCTTCTTCCCTAAGTTCTATTGAAAGTGCATTTTTTTTAGCCTCTTTCAAACCCCAAGATATAGGTAGAGCATATTTGCAAGTCTTCTTTATGGAAAAGCCTTATGTGTCAAAAAATTTATAAACATCTATAGGGAAGTAACTTCAGAGTTTGGGTTAGGTAGAGATAGAGACAGAAAGAGACAGAGAGGCAGACAGAGAATGGTAGAGACAAAGGTCTCTTGATTCTAGGAATGATCAGGGAGCACATAACACAAGTAAAAAGTAACTACTCACAAATACTGTAATCTCCCCTGTAAATAGTCAACACCTTTTCTTAACTCACCATGTGTTGGAATTAACAAGCTCCAGACTCACAGTAAAAGCATGAGACTGAAAGGACATTCTCACCTTCCTTGAGTGGGGTATGTTCACTGAGATTAAGATCTCTTCAGGCTTCAGATCTGCGCTGGGGCACCTTCTGAGAAACTCCTCGTTTAAAGGAACCTGTCGTTTTCCTTCTGTGGAAAGAAATGACACTTTCCCTGGAATCTGTTCTGTTAAACAATAAAACTTTGGAAACAATTCTACCAAATATCTGATGAAACTGGTTGTCTGGGAAAAGAAGTGTTCTTTCTATGCTTAGCAAATCTTTCCCCCTACAATGGCATCTTGTGGCTAGGTCCCACCTGTGTTGTTGTTGTTGTTGTTGTTTGCTTCTTTGCTTGCTTATAAATAAAAATATCTAGCAGAGTGGCCCAGAGATCACATAGAACAGGACATGAACAGTCCTCTTCCCAAACAGCAAAATTCATTCTGAGCTTTGTAAGTAGGCAGTAGATATTAATATCCCTCTTGATATTCTGATCAAGTCACTCAACAAATATGTACTGTTTATAACCAGGAACTGTACTAGGTTCAGTAATGAATAAATAAATTGCCTTTAATAAATGTATACTAGTGAGGTGCTGCCTTATTATTTTTTATATCTTTCTCCAGCACCTAAAGAATTTCTGTTCTCCAATCAATACACTGGGGGAGGAACCACTTAAAGCTATGATGTAATATGACTTTAGGATGAAAGCTAATAAGCTTTTGATGTTTACATTCACATCACAAGATATGTTTCTCATCATATGATTGTTTTAAAGGGATGTTACTTGAACATACAACTCTGAATACTAACCTTCCTCCTTAAGACAATTTTGTGGTTCAGATGATATGAAGAGTAGGTATTTAACAATGCAGGTAATAGAAAGCTAGTCCATATTTTTAAATGAAAATAAAAACAGATTTATAAGGGACCAATTAGCAATAACTATTAACCAAGTTGGAATAAGAGAAATATAATAGAAGCCCTGGACTTTGTTTCAAAAACAAAACTCATATAAACACAGAATGGAGCCCAACCATTTTCAACAAAAAAAGGTCTGTAGGCTTCCATCAATGAACAATTAAGTATGAGCGCACAACATGACAGGGGTGCCACAACCCTCCTGTACCACCTGGAGAAAGTCTTCAACAAAGGGGCTCTGTAGTTCTCAACAGACTTTAGTTCTCTCTACTACTCAGGTCACAGCAGGACACTAACCAACACAAGCATGGTCAATGTAGGGTGACCAGTACAGGAAAATACCTAGCACACGGCCTCAAAAGAAAGCGACGAAGACGTTGGAAGTGTATGGAATTAGGAACAGACTGGGCAAATTTCCAGCATCCAGAAAGGTGGAGAAAATTATTAATATTACAAAGAATAGTCGTTTTCAAAACTGGACCTCCTGCCTCCCCAGAGGGAAAAATGGGTAAGAGGAGCAGGTTTAATAATCTCCAAGGAGTTGTCACTCACTTTTTGATAGCAAGTTGAGGGTACAGTTGCCCACGGCCAGGAGGGGATTCAGATCTGAATCTAGGTGCCTGCTCACGATATGGCCCCCTAAAGACTTTTTAAAATAATGAGTTATTTTCAATACCTGTTATATAATTATAAAAACACAATTGATAAAGTAAGGATTAAGCAAGGTTTTGGAGAATTATTATTTTTTGTCTGTTCTAAAGGAACAAAAAATGTCATGATTCGTCAGAGATAGTCACGTAAGACATGTATGCCAGAGTTTACCATCATCAAATACATACAGCCATGTTCCTGATCTGAGATCCAGCCAGAGTTCTCAAATGCTTCAAGAGAGCTCGGTACATCCGTGTCTTCTCCTCTGGGAGGTTCTGGATTACTTCACCCAAGATGTACTTCACCTGAGTCAGGCTGAGGCCAGCACCTAAGGTCAGCTCTGGAGTGAAATCATTTATAAATAATGCAGTGTGATCACTGCTGACCTGGAAATGTCATTAGACCAAAGTTACACACATGGGATCTTTTTCCTGGATACTTGCTGCTCTGCTTATTGATGGTAGTGGTGGTGGTGGCGATGGAGGCAGTGGTGGAGATTATGGAGGTGATGGTGGTGGTGGTGACGGAGGTGATGGAGATGGTGATAGAGGTGATGGGGGTGGTGGTGGTGGTGGTGACGGAGGTGATGGAGATGGTGATAGAG